AGGAGAAGTTTTGAGAAAGGTCTCTGAGTTTTTGGCATGCTTGAATCCCGCATGTAGCCAAGTCGTTATTCAGCAGTCTGCCATGTTGTCTGCTGATCTTGGAACTCTTAATGGACTTCAATCAATGGCCTGCCGTGTGGTTTGGTAATATCGGGACTGTGCCTATCAACCTTGGGTTTGTCAGCCTCAGCAGCCAGCAGCTGCCTGAGTAAAGAAAGCCTCCAGCTTCAGTGGGCCAGGAGCTAGAGGCAGAGGTGACCAAAGGTCAAGGGGTTTTCACCCAGTCTCTAGAGCCTGGCACTTTGAACTTGAACTTCAAGTCTGTTAAAGCCACCCATTTGTGGTATATGCCTGTTAAAGCGGCACTAGAGAACCAAACAGTCATAAAGTAAAACATTTATGAACTGTTGAATGGAAAACGAATTTGCTCTATAAGCTTTCACCCAAATCACAGCAAAAAGTTTTAAAAAAAATGGGGAAGCCTATATTTAATCCTCACAATCATGTGAATCATAGAAACTACAGTTACTAGTTTATAGATGAGGAAATTACAGCATAAAGATATTAAGAAACCTGCCCAAACCAAAAAAAAAAAAAAAACTCCCCAAGATAGTTAAATGACAGTCAAGATTTGATCTCAAGCCTGCTTAACACCAGAGTCACACTCTAAACTATATTGTGCCATCAAACCAAAAAACCAAGCTCACTGCCATTGAGTCAGATCCAAATCATAGCAACCCCTCCTTGGGTTTCCAAGGTGGTATCACTACAGAAGCAGATTTGCCAATCTTCCTTCCGAGGAGTGGCTGGTGGATTTGAACCGCTAGCCTTTTGGTTAGCAGTCAAATGCCTTAGCACTATGCCATACTGCTACCTTTAACCCAGCCTTCTAGCCAACCTTCCTCATCCAGCTCCATCATTGTCTTCCTTATCTAGTGCTGCTATAACAGAAATGCCACAAATGGGTGGCTTTAACAAACAGAATTTATTTTCTCACAGTTTAGGAAGCTAGAAGTCCAAATTAAGGGTACTTGCTCTAGGGAAGGCTTTCTCTCTCTGTCAGCTCTGGAGAAAGGTCCTTGTCTCTTTAAGATTCTGTTCCTAGATCTTCATGTGGCTTGGTAACTCTCATTTCCCATCTCTGCTTCTCTCACTTGCTTGTTATATCTCTTTTATATCTCAGGAAAAAATTGACATAAACACACTCTACACTAATTCTGTCTCATTAACATAACAAAGACAAACCATTCCCAAATGGGATTATAAACACAGCATAGAGATTAGAATTTACAGCACATATTTTGGGGGGACACAATTCAATCCATAACAATAGTCTCCACTTCCATATTTTCCACTAAAAAAAAGGACCATATTCTACTCTTTCATGTCCCTTATTCTCAACAATATACATGGACTTCTTCTTCCCCAGTCCTCCATACCTTCTTTTGCACTTAAGGAGGGCTAAGGTTCACATGGGTGCTAAGACTGAGTGTCTCTGGACACACAAAGGACTCACATCAGAAGAAACGACATCAGAAACCCAGGCAGCTTCCTTTTTCCTGAATGGAGGTGGTTGGACCTTTCTAGTTAGATCCTCACCTCCATCTATAGTTCCAGCCTTGCTTGA